ACCGCCATCTCGCTCCGGCTGGCTCAGCGGTGCAGCCGCACGCCGTCCCCTCCAGAAACCGCGGCGGTGCCAGCAGGGACCGCGCGCGGGAGAGGCCCAGCGGCCGCGGGGTTCCGCGCTGCCCGGGCTGACTGAGGGCAGCAGAGGGCAGAGGGGCCGCTCAGGGAGCGGCTGAGGGGAGCCGTGCCTGTGCGGTCCCCCGGCGGATGCCGCGGCGCTCAGGGAGCCCCGGCACTCGGCCCGTACGCGCCTCGCGCAGCAGCCGCTGCCGTCCTTTGTCCCCGAGCCGAGCGGTCTCTGAGCACTTGGGCCTCCGCCACAGCCGCTGCCGAGGGGAAGCGCCGTGACTGAGCACTGCAAGAGCTCGGACAAGCTCTGAGAGGTCTGTCTCATCCTAGGTGTCGAATGGTCGGGGCAGAGAGGTGAAAATGGTCCATCTGACTGAACCAAATACAGCAGCATCCATGACAAAATTGTTCATTCTGCATCATTTTATAAAGCTACTGACCACCACCAGGATCAGCACAGCGGAGAATTTCTGCTTCTCTCGGCCAATACCCTCCAGCATATAAAAAATGCTGCATCTCTACTCCAGTCAAAACAGCAGTGTAACTTGAGTTACAGGACTCCTTTTCTTCAGAAGAGAAAAAAAATCCAACAAAAATCATATAACAAAGCACCATAGCCTAAGCAGAGTTGCATGTACACACTCCCATTGCTCAGTTAAGCCTGTTAAGTTCTGTCAATGACTCACATTTCAAGTTCGTTGTTAAAGCCTGTATTTTCCTCCTCTCCAGCTTTCTAGCACTCATGGCTGTGATGAATTTGCTACAATAATTATGTTTCAAGCTTCTAATTACTTTTTACCACCTTTCATTACCTCTCTACAGCCAAAAGAATGAGGTTGCTATTTTAAATGCACAGACTCTGCCCCTGCTATCAGCACTCCCCTTTCCTCTGATGCAGCTGTTCCAGGGGTATTTTTTTTCTTTCTTTTGACTCTGATTTGCAGGCACTTGTGTAAGCACAAAAGAAACAAACACCTGCTTCCTATTCTACCTTAAATCTTTTGGACTTGACATGCTTTCTGGTAGTGCTTATTTTAAGTAACCAGTTCTATTAAACTTCTTGCATTGTTTTTACTGCTATCTTCAGCAAGAGAGGTATAGTTCTTTGCCTTCAGGAAGGTGGTAAACTAATAAAGCAAAATAATAGCTTTAATACTGGTGACAACATATGCCGTACATTCTTGAACTCTTTCTATTGCAGATTTAAGGAATATGGACCATCATTTCAAAATGGCAATGTGCATCTGTAAGCCTAGGCAGTTCCCCAGTTAGAGAACTGTTGTTCACTTTTGAGATTAAGATCAGCATGGTTTTAGCCTATGAGAAGCTCTCTGAAAAGGATGGAATGCATCAGCTGACAAGAATTCCCACTTCAGTTTCACAGAGAAGGGTAAGTATGAATGACTTCACTTCTGTCCTTGTCTTCTCTTAAGATCTTAAATAAGATTCTCTTATTTCTTAAAATAAGAAATTGCAGTATTGGATTTTGCCTTCTTTATTCTACATCTGTCTAATCTGATGGGCTACTGAGAAACAACAAGCAATACCAGCACTAATAAGGTTTTTATTTTTGGCACACTGTGTTCAGCAGCCAATTATGTAACAGGTTACATGGCAGCAGCTCATAATCAGATAATTATGGGGAAAAAAAGCCCTAAACAAAACAACCTTTTGCTTTTCAAATAACAACCACAAGAACATTAACAGTAAGTAACAGCTGTAAGTAATTAATCAGCAACTTCTATGACTAAAACAAAATCTTCAAGCTCTTAGATGAAACCATACATACTTGTTTTTACAGGGAACTCACCAAACTCCTGCTTCATCAGACAGGATAGAATTAGTCCTTGCTTCTTCTGCACAGCCCATTCAGATATTACACACTTTAGCACAGCACTATTTGTACCTGTTTGCTTTACATTTAATCCTTTCTTCTTCCTTCTAGTTTTAAATACAAATAACACAAGCAGGATTCTTTCACCTCTTTTTCAGGCTCACTACAACTGCCAGTAGTTAAACCAAACAAACTATTCCCCATTTGTTTTGTTTTAGGTAGTACCCAATGTCAGTAGGTACAGGGACAGTGTGCAGTAGATGTAATGAGGTCCCATGGTGTATGCACACAGCTCATACAGCCACTGCAGTATTAGTATCCCGTATCCCTCACATATCACATACTTCTCTCCTTCTGTTACTGTCTGACAATTAAGACATCATACCTAAAACTTCAGATCATTTATACCCATTGCCAATCTACCCTCAGAGAGACCCTGATGGTACACTTTTGTTCTGTTTTACAGATGGGAAAACTGAGGCAGAAGTATGAATGGCCTGTCCAATACTGCAAATAAAAGCTCATCTAAAAGTTTCCACTTCAGTATTATAGTTGTAAATTGGTTGTATCTAAGGTACCAAAATCATGGCAACAAGAAGCCATGCTTCAGAAAACTAAGCCTTCATTATTACTATTATTATTTCGACAGACTACAAATCAGATAAGTCAGCAGCAGTTTTTGCTTTATACCAAGAAGTGAGAGATTCCAGATGAAACATGGGATTAAGATATGTTGGTAGAAAATAATCCAAAAGCCAACCAGTAATGAATTCTGTTTAATACTAGAAAAGCCAAAAAGACACTCTTCAGACCAAAAAGTATTAATTAAAAGGAAAAAAACAAAACAAGAACAAGACATTTCAAAATGGTTTAAGCTGACATTATGTTGTTTTATTTCAGATTTCACAAAAGAAATACTTTATAAAACTAAAATCAGTTAACCCAGCCACTATCAACAGAGGGTGGTATAAGCAAAAGACACTAGGTCAGAAATTGCAGTGAAGAGCCATCTGTTCCTGTCACGGGAGTGCTCCTCTACTACCAGAATACTTCACTGGGGGATGAAGACGCAGAGAACTGGGGTTTTACAGCAGTTCTGAGAAGCACAATAGCTCCTCCTAGTTGGTGCTTCGTTGCTACCCAGGTCTCCTCTGTATCATAAGTGTAACAAGGATTTACTGATTTCAGAAAGGACAAATCCAGCATAGCAAAGGCAAGAAATTTTTCAATTGAATTTTATGCAAATTTCCTTTAAAAAGGTACTATTGCATTTTAAAATCAGACCACCAAACTGATTACTTAGCTAACTTATCTGGGATTTCCAGTCTCATTACTGAAAGGAAAATGAATACATAAGGCTTAAGCAAGCCCTGTGCTAAATAAAATATATAGGGGCTTTGAGTAGATACTTGGGTGTTTGCCTGAGCTTTGATTATGGGAGAGCTGGGGTGGGAGGATTTATTCAGTTATTGTTAAGGAATTCTATTCCCTGCCCTCCCCATTCCATATTCTTCATTGGGTGGCAAAACTGGAGGTGAGAGGGAATAAGGTAAGGCAATAATCTCAATGCTTTACACTAAGGTTCTGATGGAGCGGGCCACAGAACCTTGCACGAACATAAACAAAGTACCTGCCTAGGGACAGCTTTGCCTGTTTTCATCATGCCCAAGTTATGGCTGCTCAATACAGTGGCATTTGTCAAACCATCCACCCTATCCCCCCAAGCCCTTCTCTCCTCTGAAGAGTACATGATGGCAAGAATCCTTCCTTCTACCTATTTCTTTCTGAAAAGGGCAGGGCAGTGGGAGAAAGGAAAAAAAAAAACAAACAAGAAACCAATTTATTTCAAAGACGGGCAACTTTCCCTTGTAGAATAAACCTTCCCCTCTAAAAAGGGGTGTTTCTTTTCTCCTGTAACCCACGATAAATTACAACCAAGTAAGAAGTCTCTGGTTTGACACAATAAATACTTAGAATATAGCAAATTAAAAAATATAGTTACAAAACCCTCAATGGAATTCTCTTTCTGACCTAACTGCAGACAGATTCTTCACAGACAAAAAGTATCTCCAAAATCAGCTGCAGTTCCTCTCCCTGTTCACATACCCTGTTCACATACAAGTGCTATCACATACCCTTTGGAATAATGTTAAGACAAAAACAATATAAAGCACAAGAAATCTACTCCTAGATTTGTTTTTTATACTGCCAAGGGTGTAGGAAGCAGCCATCTGTGGGGAACCCTCACTGCAGTGTGCAGTGACAGAGTCACAGCATTACAGTTAACATGGACAGGGAGACTAGGGGGAGAAACAGCCATAGGAAAGGAAGGAGACAGAACCCATAAAAGTTGGAGAAGATAAGCAAGAAAGAGACAGAAAAAGACCAATTGAGTCCAGCTGGACTTCCCATTTCCGGCAGCAGAGCAGATGAGATGTTGAACAGGAAGAGTTCCTTGGGACCTGTCATAACTAGGAATGTTGTTGGCATTTTCTTTGTCATTGATGAAGTAGAAATTAACCCTCTCTGACACTGACACGTGGCTCTGCCAGTGAGCTGTGGATGATCCCAATAATTGATTCAACGCCATCTCCCTCCAGCAAGGTGCGGTGATCTCCTTCAATAACGTGGACAGACACTTTCCCATCACATACCTGTGTCAAGTATGAAAAAGAAAAACTTTTCATTCACAATTTACAACCAGCGGGTCACCTAGCCACTTTGGGTTTGTTAGTCTTCTAAGTTACCCATCATTTAGACCACTATCTCTATCAAAAACTCAGCTGAAAACAGCACCAGTTTTACTCCGACATATTTTCACAGATCAGCTGTGGGGCACTGTTTGGAACCAGTGTTTTAAAGCACAATAGGCTGATAGCCTGACAGGTGATTCACTCAAATATAAACTAGGCAGGAAGTTAAACAACCTAGTACCAAAAGAATAATTTACCTACAATATCAAAGAATGAATGAATGAATGAATGATAAAGTAGCTACTTCCAAGCCCTTGACTAAACCAAATAAACAACCTCTCCTCACCATCTTCCTCCCACAACCAGAAGGTCATTAATAACCTCAATAACATCTAAGTTAGCCTGGAATCAATAATGACTAAATTAGATGTCTGAAAGGATAGGAGATGCCAGAAGCAGGAAGGGAATTCTGAAAATCACTTAATTTTCCCTGGTATTTGCACCAACTTAAGCCTTGTATGTGAGCAGGGGCTAAAGAACAGTGACCTTATCTGGACTGCAGGCCAAACCCCAACCTTTTTTAGCCCACAAGAAACCCACTTCTAACTACCAGCTTCTAAGTGAAAAAAATGCAACTGAGAAAAAGCTGCCTTTATTGTCAGAAGACTGACACCTGGTCTTCAGAAAGATGACCTCATTCAGTAAACTAACTTTAGAGTCTACAGTAAAAAGAGACTGAAAGTTGCTCTCTTTTAACATAGTTATTATCCAAAGTCCTTCTAGAGAGCAGCAAGAATCAGCTACAGAAAACACCTGTCTACCTAGAAAAAAATCCTATATACAGGCAAAACTTACTAGTCCTCACTACCTACAGAAAATGCTTGGAACCAATCAACTCATTTGCTTTTGGAGACTTCTATTCTTGTTAGAGCACAACAACTACGGAACAATAATTTCTTTAAGGTTGGTCTTGTCCTTTTTTTCTCAGTAAGGATGATTTCCCATACTTTGGCTTCCCCAAATATCAAAAGAAACCCAACAGACACCAGTGGGCCTGAGACTGACCTCTGAGAGTTTATAGTCTCTACCCAGACCTTCCTCATATTCATTGTGAGACTTCGCCCGCATCAGTGTCACGTTCCCATGATACTTGGAGTCTGGTATATACTTGTCAGCAGCCTTCAGCTTATGGTAAAATGAAGTAGCAGCAAAGCTGAGTGCTTCACGATTGATGTTTGTATGAATCTCAGTTATTAGATCTACAGCAGCATTCACACGAGCCTCCAGATCTTTCAGGGGCAGAAGAACCTCCAGCAGCTGGAAATATTAACATTTTTTTCCACATTAGTCTCAACAGCTGAGAATCCATCTCCATTTAACAAAAAAACATACACAGCCTCTTGTGCAATGTCAAGATATATAGATCTTGAAAATAAGAAACATTACCTTATTGTATTCAGTGCCTGTAAATTGCTGAACGAAGGCACACAATGCTTCAGTCTCCAGTGCAGCCTCATTTCCTTGGGTCAGTTTGGCCCTGTAGCTCTGGAAGAGAGAATACAGTGTGAACGTGAGAGGGATGTGCCTGATATTAAAAGTCAGATAAAAACAATTACAGAACCAAAGGTGTGAACTGGGAAAAAAAAGGAAGGGGGGAAATCCCTTCAGGATGGATTAGAAAGCAAATCCACAGATGACAACTGCCAAGAGCCTAGTATTCTCTAATGTATAATGAAAATGAAAGGGAAGCCTTAAGCAAGGTTTCCTCGCACCACCACAAGAGGATCTTGACTTGCACGCACCAGGATCTTCCAGAAGACATACTAATATTATTATTTATCATAGCAAGAGCAACATTTGTGCCTGAACTCTCGCCATTTAAGGACCACCTCTCATGTGCTTTTACCCTTCCATCATCTCTTAAGTATCCAATGTCTACAGCTGTCTTCCAAAATACCTGTGAATTAAAGTCTGTCTGCTTTTCAGATTGCTTGTATCTAGAACAGTAAGCATTGAGAAAAATGAGCCCTGATGATGGTCCCCAGAAAAAAAGATTCTCCTTGTGCCCCTTACCTGGGTATATGCTGCCACAAAGGAATGAGACCCATCAAAAAGGAATAAACTGTTGAGTGCATGGGAAGCATTTTGTTGTGCTTGCAGCTGGGAACACATTTCAAAGGCTACACAGGCACCAAAAGAGTATCCAGCAATGCGGTAAGGTCCTTCAGGCTGTATCTGCTTCATGCAGTCAATGTAATAGGCTGCCAGGCTTTGGATGCTGTCCAAAGGAGCGGCTAGAAATAAAGAAGTGAGTTAGAAAGACTGGTGAAAAGACATTGGCAGAGACAAATATGTTCTCATGCACTCAGAAACAATCCTGTTGGAAACATTCAGGTTACCTGGCAGTTTAATTACTAAATTATGGTTAACAACTTGCATTCAGGACAAGTAATAGTTATATTCCTGCTTTTCAAGGACAGGTTGAACAGGATGCTTTGACTTTTGCATACATACACTCTCCAATTTAATCTTCTCAATACCGCGAATATTTGACATGACCCTCTGCAGACTAATAGGCCTGACACTTGTTCCTCCAAGTTTAGTAGTCTAAAAACAAAGCCCTCTCTAAAAGCAACCACAGTTCAGAATGTTATGTTTGCAAACTCGAGATGCTGAAGAACTGAGATACCTTTTGTGCACTGGAGACCATAGCAGGGCATGTGAAGTCTGGAGGCCAGAGTGTAGAAAACTGCAATGGATCCTTCAATGGGGTGAACAAGGAAAAGAGGGCGCTCCATGCTCTGAACTTCATTGAGACGAGTGATTGTTGGCCCTTCTGGGTTCACCAGTAAG